AATATTACATGTTAATAACTTGATTGGAATTATAACCTTGAATTGACAGTTTGATACTTTGAAAATTTTGAGCCAGCCCTACCCCCAAGGGCTGTAGGGTGGGGCTCAAAGGAGTCAGTGTGCTAAAATTTCTTCATTTTCCTTGTTAAGAATCAGAGGTGCTAGTTTCAAATCCTTTTCAGTCTGAAATCTGTATGCTAGATATTGAGTAAGGTGGTTTTATTGTTTTTTGTCACTTTGAATAATATTTCTGTTCATGTTAAAAACAAAATCAACTCTCTGTATAAATATATCAGGTGACCGTTAAGGCCCATGGGCCTCTTGTCTAAGATCTGATTATTTCATCTGAATGAAAATCTCAAAAGATGCCATTTAATAGTGTTATTTTCCCCTAGGGTGAGCATACACATTTTATTTATGTTTTTCATTCTGAGCATGCTTAATCTCCCCAATGGAAATTTCATAAAGTTGCAAGTATACTAAAGTACAGTATCAAACTTATTTTACTGTGAACCACATTAGATTAATCCCCATACAAAACTATAATTATGACGATTATTTAGTTATACCTTGTGTTTGTAGCTTCGACTTGACACTAATTGGGATGAGAACCCAGACAAACAGATCCTACAGTGGGGTGGTATTAATGTTGATCACCAGCATTCCAGGGACGGTGGCTTCTGAGGCAAACGTTCACCACAAACTCTTCAAAAAGTGTTCTTTTCTCTGAAACCTATTTTTCCTAAGCGAAGGGAGATAACACTGGTGCCTGCTGACGGTTTCTGAAGGGAGGCAACTCTGTGATAATTCACAGAAATCATGTACTGATAAACTTAGGCTGCACAGAAACCAACAGCACTATGGACGTTTTTGAGGGACATCAGACCATTTTACAAATTAGAAGCCAATTACTGTGTTTCTTGGAATAGGTTGTATTCCTCCGACTCCTGTGAACCTTAAAATATCTTTGGTTCCTCAAAATTCAGGGTATAATCGGTGTAAGTGTATTTTGATGCGTGGTGTGACCTCTGTGATAAAACTGGAGCCTACAACCTACAAGTGTTCTGTTTGATAGGTTTGATGCTTAATCTTCAGGATTTGGAAGTCTGATCAAATCATTGAACTATTTGTATCAAGAAATGTTGATAGGACTTTGAGTTTTGAAACTTTTGAAAGAAGATGTAATTTTGTTGTAGTTGAAAGTTTTCAACAAACTATATTCCAACGAAAAAATCATTAATTTGTGGGAATCTTACACCAAAAGTGAAATTATTGAAGGATTTAGCCAATTTCTACAGAATGAAGGAGCTTGATTCTATTAGAAATAAAAAGAAAGTATGACTAAAAGTAGAAATCAAACCTTAAGAATACTTAAACTCTCCTGATAAACCATCCTCCATACTCCATGAGTTACGCTCACTTTTGCTCTCTGCACCCCTGGAATATTTTGTCTTGACCAATCGCTAGGCTGATACCTGTCCTTTGAAGATTACAGAGGAGGGACACCTGACTTCAAAGCCAGTCAAATTTACCATTAGGTGTAACCTGAGATTCTTTTGATGTTCATCAAAGGATTAAGCTAGTCTTTCTGTTTCATCCATAAAGTGGCACAGACCAGACTTCAATTTTACTATAACATGTTCCAGGGGTGCAGAGAATGTAAGCAAGAGTATGGAGGATGCTGTGATACTAGGGAGATAATTATAACCATCATGTGATTGTAGACATTATACACTGTTGTCTTCAGCAGCTGACTATAAACAATGTACCAGGTAGGTTTGGCTTATATTGTACAGAGTATAAAATAGTAACAAATTGTTGTGTATATTCCATGATTTCTGCTATATTTGTTTTATTTGCTCACTGGTGCTTCGTTCAGGTATAGATCTATTTATGAATATTTATTGTTCAAACATGTTTAAGCCGTGTATCCATTATAACATAAATTGTAGAAATCCAGACATTGTGTTTATTTTCTAAATGATGTGATAATTTTGTGCCATCCCGTGAAGATTCCTGCTGAAGTGCTGAAGATTGATTGGTTGGGAGATTAAGTCCTCGTCAGTGCTAAGGTCCCATAACTTTACTGTTCTTGCCGTAGATACTTCTTACATTGATATTAGCTTAAAGAGAGAACATGCATGCATGATTTATTTCTAAATATATCATCTATAGTTAAGTTGATACGACTTTTGAGGTTTTATCTTTTATGGGTATATAATAACTTATCAACATTGTTGATGCGGTGTGAAATTGTCCTCTGGTCTCTTATCTTGTAATATAGGAGGAGGCTATACCTGCTGTGTGAAATTGTCCTCTGGTCTCTTATCTTGTCATATAGGAGGCTATGCCTGGTTTACTTTTTTCCTTGTAATGAAATTTTGATGAAAACTAGTTCTAAATTATGTCAAAAACTAAGTTCTTGTAAGAAATTATGATGAAAACTAGTTCTACATTATGTCAAAAACTAAGTTCTTGTAAGAAATTATGATGAAAACTAGTTCTACATTATGTCAAAAACAAAGTTCTTGTAAGAAATATTGATGAAAACTAGTTCTAAATTATGTCAAAAACTAAGTTCTTGTAAAACTCCCTTTCAAAAATACCCACATTTATGAAATTGGTCAAGAAATAAAGATTTAAGCAGCTGTTGAAATCCCTTCTTTGTTGCTAATAAAAATGGGGATAGAGCCAGTTCTCATCAAAATTCAATACAATAAAAGAAAAAGAACATAGCTTCCTATATTATAAAAGTTGACCATAGGACAATTTCACACAGCATGATCATTTTTGATAATATATTACCTACCTATAATAGGTAAAACCTCGAACGTCAAATCAAACTTAACTATAGGTGTAAATGTAAATCAGTACGTCAAAACCCACAGAGGAGAAACTGTCACACTTTAGAGTGAACCTCTATTATAAAAAAATTTAAACTAAATTAATGAAGATCGACAAGGAGGAGATATTCATTCCTACATAGCTTCATATGCATTCCAGGGACTGAATGTCCTAACATATTTAATTGATGATCTTTTTTTTAACAGTTTGCTACCTGTTAGCAGTATTTTTGTTTATGTGAAGATTTAAGAACATGTATATCATTTATACCCTCTTTTGGTGTATTTCATTTTCTCTTTGTTTTCTATTGGAATGTGACAATTGTTTTCTTAAGTTGTAAGAAAATCTGAGATCAATGTCGGGGTAAACTAACCGTTAACAGGAGTAGATGGTCGACCTTTAACCTCATTTTGAGTACTTCTGACATTTTGTGGTTATATGTTTGTTCACAAACAACAGATTAAATTCGTTTATTTTGCAAAGGAAGGAAGGTGGGAACAGGGTAAGATATAACTTGTTTTGATAACAAATGAGTGTTATAATATCATTATTAATTACAAATAATAAGCATAATTGTTAGTTATATGAAAATTGTACAAAATTAATGTTCAGTATCAAGGCTCATAATATCCTAATGAATGTATGTGATTTAGGGCAAAGGAATACATTGATTCTTGCTTAAAATAGATTATTGCATTGCTTTGAAATGACAAGTTCAAAATAATGGGACAGTGAATGTGATATTAAGATTCCTGATAATTAATATATATTGTCTAGTGATCTGTGTTCATTGTGAAAGTTTAAACACTGGTGAATCAATAATGTGTAAATGAATTTTGAAATGAATCAATAATTGTACAACCTTTCCTATCCATGAACCTGTATTTTGATGTACATTTCACTGTTGACACACACTGGAATATTAGTGTGTATGTCTCTCCACATCACAGCATGTGTGACTGTATGGCTTAGAGACAAAAGACAATCAGCTCAATTAAAACTGTAAAATGTAAACAATTTGGTCGTTGTTATCAATTAAACACATTTGAATATAATGAAAAGAGGATAAGCTATTTAGACTTGACCAATAAATCATATATTGGACTAATGTAATGATATATAATTATACACTAGACAAAGTTTATCAATACTAGACCAATGTAAATATGACTAGACTGATGTCTGCAAATTTAGCAAAAAGTGAATAAACAATGTCATAAAACTTGTACTGAAGTTACTAAACAATGTCAACAAAATTAAAAGAAGGTTACTGAACAATGTCAACAACTTAGCAAAACATTACTGAACAATGTCGACAACTTAGAAGAAAGTTACTGAACAATGTCGACAAATTGAAGTTAGAACAAAGTTACTGAACAATGTCAACAAAGTTAGCAGAAAGTTCATCCTCACTGTCCCCAAATTAACAGTAAATTGATAAGACATATGTCTCGGAGGGGGGATGTCATTAGCAGTGGCGGATCCAGAGGGGTTTTTTGGACTTCAGGAACCCCCCCCCCCCCAACCTACTCCAACAATGTTAGAGGTTTTACACGGCGAAAAACTTTTGACAGGTGCCGCGTAACAGTCGGCAAAATCATATCCTCTCATGTTATGGGAGTACCCCCAACCCTGATCATTTTCTTTAAAAATCATGTATTTTCACCATTTTCCTCAATTTTCCCCCACATGGAACCCCCCTCCCCCCAGGAAATTTGGAACCCCACCCCCCCCAGATAGGTCTCTGGATCCGCCACTGATTAGGGGAAATTTAAAGATAAAGTATGTCATGAGGTTGATTTTCTTTGTATTGTGATATATTGGGTTTATATGTCATCTCGACAGCTTACGTTATATGACGACGATATCAACTGATAGTGGATCAACACTATCACCACACAGAAATGTCTAATACAGACGTGCCAACGTCATGACACCGCATTTGGCTACACTACTGTGACAACTAACCCAACAAGAAGAAAAAGTAGAGACGAGAGAAAAAATAAGAAAAGGTGAGATGAGAAAACGATTCGCAGTGTTCACGCACAAGATATATATTTAGAAAGTACTTCAGGGATTGGTTCCATTCATTATGGACTGATACCATAGCATCACCATCTATAAACAGAATCAGAACGCTATGTTTTATATTTTTAATGTCACCAGAAATGTAAAATTTACATTACCAAATGTTAATAAAGAAATATGCCGGTAATTTGACCTCTGACCTACTAGTATTTGCTTCTCACCTAAGTTTTTTCAGTTTCTTTATTTCCGAGAGCCATCCGACTCATAGGATAAATGTCAAACAAGTATCATGTAATACATGTACAAGAGATTATTATACAAATTTAGATTTATTAAGTTGAGAATGAGTTTTCCATATCAGACATTGATTTCTACACGTTTTCTTGTAGCACAATATGAATACTTTCCGAGATTACATAAGTCCTTTACATTGTTAATACTCGATCATGTTATTACTTAAAACATTAGGACTTCTGTGATAGAATCGCTTGATATATTTACATCTCAGGTCTTGATATAATGGACATTTAGTATGAAGTGAAATTCATGTTATATATCACCTGAAGTACAGAGAGTAAGACACAATCACATTGTTCCGTCTACCCACTTCATTTTAAGTTATGAGACGACAACCTAAAACATGTTATAAGTCGTTTGTACGTTGGTTCTATAGATTTACATAAGTAAAATTGAAGACAAAAGTATCAATAAAGTGCTGGTATATAAATGACCTTTAGATGACCTTGATACATTTGCCAGCATATTCTGTTTACATTTATCTACAGTTCTTTGTTCTATAATTTTAATAGGAACATTAACAGGCAAAGGAACATTAACAGGCAAATTGTTTTCTAAGATATATTCCAAACCAAGGCTAGACAACTTATGCTTAATATTAACTATCCAGCCATCATTTACATTAACACATTCATCATAACATGACTTTAATATACAATTGTCACTCTGTTTAAAAAAATCCTTAATTTTCTTTGTATTATTTGAGGAAACCTACCGAGCTCACAATAAACCAAATCATTGGAGGTGTTTTTCTGAACTCTTAACAATTTCTTACAAAACATGAGATGTACTTTTTCTTCATCGGGTGATTTGTGAAAACCCCAGATCTCGGAAACATAACACAAAATTCTATTCAGTACGAGTCAAAAACAGCACTGGATTTCAATATTTAAACAATGATTCCGTAATGTGGACATTAAGACATTGATGACCCAGACTGAGTCTCCTGTTAATGATTGCGATTTTTAATTGCCCTCCAATTTCCTCATTATACTTATAACATTACTCATAAACCCTGAACCCAATCTCTCCTCCACGTGGTCTTATTCTTGTAATAATAAGCACTTGACGTCAACGTGAATAAAAAAAATTGTGGACATGATACAGATTTACATGAGAGATACCAGATTTTTTAATTAGACTGTTCGTTTTACTGAATTACAACAAATACTGTGTCAGCCGAGTGTTGAATCTAACTCCGAATCTTGTATTAATATCTGTGACAATTCCGCGACATATTGTTTACACCAAAAATAACATAATTAAAATACCCTTTATATATTTCCACTAACAATATATTTATGATGGTGAAACATAATATATTTCTAACAAAATAATGAGAAAAAAATGAATAAGGTTTCTTTGAAAATTTGACGGTGATATTTGTTCCTGAATTCTGATATGTCCAAACTAATTGGGGATGCAGACAAATTGTTGTAAGTGTATATATATGCTGAAGCAATACAAGCACTGCTACCTTTTTATCATCGGGGTATGACGTCAAAATATAACCGAAATTGCGAAAACAGCTATTTTTTCTGAATTGCTACATTAGGTGATATGACATTTTTCAAGGACACTTCAGATTCTGATAAATTATGTATTTACCTGGGTCTTTACTTACAACATACCAACAGGGACATCTCATTGCTAAGCTGTACGATTATATTCTTTCCCCCTGTGCAACAAGGTCGATGTTTTTTGTATTATGATCAGTACTGTGCCTTGTTTAGTTGTCGCTACCCTTGTTCTCTTTTTGAGGACATGCTATTACTTGATTGACTTAGATTTACTATTGGGTGTCGCTGAACGGTTACCCTTCGGATACATCCTATTTTACTCTCCTGGTACGTTTTCAACCGTCATCGTGTATATACTTGTTCATATTCTGTTCTAGCTTATCGTTTCTGAGTTCGAATCACAGCTTTGTCAACAGTTCAGTTTTCTCTTGATTAATTCAACGTGTAAAGCTGTTTAGCTTTTACATAATATTCATCTCAGGAAAGCCATAAAACTGATGCAAAAACACTATGGACAACCCGTTAAACAGTGCACGTTGCAATTTTTAAAACTGGAAATATATTACACAGTATAATTAACTGTTGAAATGTGACATTCTATTTTAACAGTTAATAAATTAACTTAAAAAATATCTGAAGGTTTTACCATTGTTTAATATCCGTTTGTTATAATGAAATTGCTTATTTATTTGAGTTTCACATTTGAACCCTTTAATTGTAAGATAGTGCATATTTTGATCCGAAGATTAATCGCTTGTGCATGTTGAAACAGACTTGGGATTTATACATAAGGGTGCTACGAGCGATTGTTACTGCTGTACATTTATCCCCAACCAACATCAGGTTAACAGGTGAGGGTTCACTGTAGTACGCTGATTTAAATTCACATATTTACTTCTATTAAAGCGACATCACGGGATAGTATTTTGGTAGGGTCTTTTTTCCGAAAAATGCACAAATATATATATCTCCTAATGGAGAATGAAGGTCGGACTTCGCTTAAATGTATTTATAGAAATGTATAATTAATGATATAATGAAAACGTCTGAGCAACATTTTATACGGTTGTTTATTGCGTCACATTTAATAACGCAAAAATAGAAGAAAAAAAAATGACTTGCCGGGGGAAGTGTCAGCGAGTGAAAACCATTACCGCGTCAGCTACGAATTGAAGTGAAGGGTTGCCAAATGGTCAAAAGATAGCGCAAGGCTTCCGTTACGGAAACATTGTTGCAGGTGGAAAGTATCCAACGAAGAAAATAACTGCCTTAACAATTAGAACAGTGCATGTATTTTTCCGGATAGCCGGTTCAAAGTTGAATAAAGCTGAAGGGGAATCGACCGAACTGCTGTTTATGTTATGAATAAGTACTTAACCAGAGAAAGGAAGCAAACTCAGGTGTATTAATGAAGCATAGATTCATGATCATAAAAGATAATGGAAAAGAATTTGACAAAAAAAAATGCAAACACGGTCAGCTTTATGTCTTGTACATTGTACATATTATTGTTCATAAAAAACACTACCTAGAGGCTTGATATAGACTTGGTTTGTTATGATGTATATAATGTATTATATACAGTCCTCGTACACTAAGCGACGGGTTCATATTTGTATAAGATTTGCATGAAATGGATGATTTAGTGCACTAAAGAAATATTACTGTGTATTATTCATTGTATATATTATTCTAGTAAATAAAAAACACCACGATCCTTACGTAAAGACTATTTCATAAACATTATTCAAATTAATGAATAGAGAGTCATAAACGAACCACAAATGACTGTCAGTGTAAGATATGAAGTCATACCTTCAGCTATAAAATAAACCAGAGAAGTTTTAGCATAAGAAATGTAGCGAATATATTTATACGTGTCGAGTCAAAACGTGTTTTACTCAGGTTATTTACTTGAAGATATTTTAAGTTAAATTTCCAACTAGTTTCAATGCAGTATACTTCAGTTTATTCAGTACATAATCCATTTAAAACTGACAGTAAAGTTGTATGATAAAATAGACTGCCTATAAACGCTATTAGATTCTAAAAACCTTCCACCATTTTAATTATTTTGATTTTACGACGTGTAATTTGATATCAAACAATATCTCAGGATTGACAATGTTTTCAATCATTATTGAAACCTAAAATACATTTAAGGTGGCTCCACACATCGTCATCAGCGTCCATTTTCGTGACGTACTTCCGGTAAAAGAACAGCTCGGACTCAATTATCTTGATCGAAATGTGCATGTACTCCGTGTCGTCATTTCCGTATTGCGTATCGGGCATTCGATGTCGTTGTGCAAATTATAGTTACCCCTTGGCCGTTTTCGTCTAAACGGTCAAACCGGTTTCTCCGCATACACGAACAGGCCCCTGGTAAACAATAGTACACGTGCGGGTCGATGATATGTCAACACCCGATATCGAGATTTTCCCGGGAAATGTATAATCACACGTATTTCAGGAATAAAGCTTTCAAATTCATAGACATAAACAGACTCACTGGAAGATAGTGACATGAGACCAAACGACCTCAAGAAGGTCATAGAGGAAACGCATGGAATGCGGACGTACCGACCTCACATGTGCAACACGAGTTCATAAGCTCGAGGTCGTTACGATGTTCGCTGTTGAGGAAGGTTAGCTCTGTCGATTAAATAGTGTTTACAAATGTAGTCTACTTACTCTGTGAAAATAATGTTTTGTAAAATATCAAGATACCTATAAAATGCATGTGTGAGTGCACGTGAGAACGGCATACCATGCGATAATTTTAATATCATATTTTTGATTTATTTCCATCATTTTTGTTATATGTAAACAGGGACAACTGTCATTGTGTAAATGTCACCCCTCTGCAAAAAGTTCCGATTTTTTTCAAGGAAGATAACTCTTACCCGGATCGAGGTGATTGTAAAATGTAAAATAAATTAATTATAAAGCCATTGAGTATATTTTGTTCAATTTCCCATTCTATATGTATAGATCTTTGTGTCCTGTTGAATTTTAGCTTGTAGATAATCACTTTTATCCGTTCAAATTCAATAAAAAACACTTTGTGTAACATGTGTTACATATTTTGCGATAAATAAAATATTTGTAGGGTTAATTAGAAATGCTTCTTTTCATTTTATTATTGTTGCTATTGTTCCGAACAATGTCACACCCAAAAAAACCCCGGAAAATATTAAAATTGACGAAAATTCAAGTTTTTGGTATTTTTTCCAAAAAAGTCCCCTTACTATCGGAGTGTTTATATTTTCATAAAATCATCTCTACATAGTTGCATAACCATTATATTAAAATATCAACGAATTTCGCTGGTTAATTACGAAAGTGTGGAGCCACCTTAATAGATATTGATAAGATGAAGGCATCTAAAAGATTTTGATGCATGTCGAGTATAAAATTGATAACCTATGAATAATACTAAGATCTAAAAATAACCCATTTTTACAATTTTCAATATGTTTAAATATTGAATCAATAACGGTATATATATTTAAGCATTGAACTGCTTCCATCTGGGCAAAAGCAAATCCACAATGAAGCGCTAGCGCGCTTCATTGAATTTGCTTTTGTCTAGTTGGCATTCATATTGCCTATGAATGCCAACTGGAAGCAGTTCAATATTTATATTTACCATTTTCGGAATCTGTTCATCTCATAGAAAATTCAACTACATTTAATATTATTCAGCATTTAGTTTAAATAATGAATGTATCGTGTATGCTTGCTCAATGAATAGAACAGTCATCGCCCAGGGAGGGTCAGTGGTATCCAACGTTACAATTATGACGTTACACTAATGATGACGTCAACAATAGGTCCATGGCATTCATAACCTATATGAATGCCAACTGAATTTGGTAGGGTTATATAGTGGCAATGCCATACGATGGTAAATATATATAGATGTTCCCAAACGAGTGGTGGTTGGTTATCATGTTTATCTAACTCGAGTTAGTTAATCTACTAACGAGAGTGAGATAAACGCGATAAATAGATATCACAAGTGAACCTGTTTCTCCTAAAATGTTCGTATTTTATTTGAAAAACCACATTTTTCTCTTGGAAAATACATGATTTGTGTTTCCGATGGGGGAAACAATTGCCATGGAGCATGACGTCACAATGGAAAATGACTTCGAAAAGCATTGTAACATGACGTCATAAATCAAAGATTGACCAATGAAATCATGGTCACTAGAACACCCACTATAGTGAGTGACCAAAAATGTTTACCAACTCCGAACAGGTTTATCCAATATGTCATGAGTGAGGAAACCTACTGTGGTTGTTGGAGAAATACCAATAACCACTTGTTTCTAGTACGGTGCGTTTACTACAGCAGAACCCGCTTCTTGTTATACACAAAGACAATATGATTTAATTGTTTTCTTGATCTAACATCAATAACTGAACTCCCCGTCTTGTCCATAAGTGTGCTTTATTTACCGGGATAGCGGTCAATGAATCTGTCTTTAACAAAAAAAGCCACTGTATAATAGTATTATACTCAATACGACAAAAAGCTAATACAAATCGAAGAGCTTGTGAAAGATGGGGTATGTCTCGCTGATATTTGTTGGTGAACAATAATGTAGTAAAATAAGTGTAATAGACAATACTTCATAGAAATAGTCCTCTGTTCGTTAATGGTAAAAACGTCAAAGTGTCTCCTCGCGTCCTTACATCTGCTTTGTGATGTCCGAACTTTCTGCCCAGGTGAAGAATTCCAATGGCCCGTATACGATATCGAGTTTTCACTTTTTTGTCCGAGCCTAAACTATGTGCTGGTGGTCTGGCTGCTTTCGACTTGCATCGGCGAATGCCTTCATCACAATACAGATATGGACTCTGTCCGCAATCAGGACACGCGGGGGACGGGATGTAGTGCGTTAGACTTTCCAGATGGTCACTGTAGCCGTATAAATTAGGAAGACTGCCGAACGGAAACATGGTGGCATACCGTTCGTGAGCCCTTGGCCCTTTACAAGGGTAGTCGAATGCTGGATCAATGTCTCCCCCTTTTCGCATATTTTCTCTTAACAAGTACCAAATATAATCAACAAAGCTGTGGTGAAGAAAGAAGACGGGATCCTGAGGTGCTGTCTCGAGACTGGAGAGCTGACCGTCAACCCAACGATGTGGTCCTTCATGGATATCTTCGATCGAGTTGATAGTTGGTTCCACAGCCTGATCATGCCTTGTGTATCGTAGTAACGTGTCTACCATGTCGGCGGACATAAGACTGCCATTGTTCCCTATGTTTCGAACTAGTGACTCGTTATCTGGTGTTATCCAATTCGCAAATGGCCCCGTATCCTCTACTCCAAAACCAGGACCGAAGAAGTCGTTGGTCCACACTACAGAGTCGGTAGGATCGGACATGTCGTGGTCCAGTCGACTGTCCCAGTAGGGTATGGAAACCCCAAGAGCTGCTTCCAATCTGTAAACAGCAGCAAATTGACAGAACATGCTAACTTCAACATTGTTTTAAGGGGCAACAAAACGACATCGCTATGATAATATGGTTTTATTTATTCAATTCTTCTTACTACATTTTCAAATAGACCATGCAAAGGAATATAATACATTCAGAGGCAGTCAAAGTATACATATAACAACAAAAGATAAATATGTGTCAGTCAAGTTAACATCACAAAGGACCAAATACAACTTGTTTCAGTCAAAGGTTTTACTTGTTAAAAAATATATATGCATGATATTCGATCTTTGTCAGTGTTTATACTTTCAGGAGGAGATAACTCTGTGTCAGTGTTTATACTTACAGGAGGAGATAGCTCTGTGTGAGTGTTTACACTTACAGCAGGATATAGCTCTGTGTGAGTGTTTACACTTACAGGAGGAGATAACTCTTTGTCAGTGTTTATACTTACAGGAGGAGATAGCTCTGTGTCAGTGTTTATACTTACAAGAGTAGATAACTCTTTGTCAGTGTTTATACTTACAAGAGGAGATATCTCTGTGTGAGTGTTTACACTTACAAGAGTAGATAACTCTTTGTCAAGGTTTATACTTACAGGAGGAGATGATTATGTGTCACGGTTTATAATTACAAGAGGATATTACTCTAAGCCAGTGATTATACTTATAGGAGGAGATAACACTTTGTCAGTGTTTATACTTACAGGAAGAGATAAATCTGTGTCAGTGTTTATACTTACAGGAGGAGATACCTCTTTGTAAGGGTTTGTGAGGAGATAAATCTGTGTTTTGGTTTATACTTTCAGGAGGAGATAACTCTATGCCAGTGTTTATACTTACAGGAGGAGATAACTCTTAGGCAGTGCTTATAATTACAGGATGAGATAAATCTGTGTCAGTGTTTATGCTTACAAGAGGCGATAACTCTATGCCAGTGTTTATACTTACAGCAGTAGGTATACCCTGTGCCAACCCAGGAAGTTAGGTCCTCCGTGTGCTGTATTTATAGTTACATTATTTCTGTGTAGATCGGAAATGACGTCATATGGCACAAAGGATTCCTGTCCTCCTCTGACAGGCTGTAAATCAAATATAAGGAATCAAATTACAATCCACCGTAGTTTCTAGCGAACGTGATTATATTGTTCCAGGACAGATTGTTTGTATAGAAAGAAGACCCTATATGTCTCGTTAGACACTGGATGGACAAGTAGAGGATATTTAATGGTTTCCCATTGACTACAATATACATTCACGAGTAAAGTAAAACACTGATATCTTTCATTACTGCGCAACATGCGTGAATATATCGGTATATTCTGCCATACGAGAGAAAAATAAATGGGTTTCAACGGTAAAACCATTAAATTGTCGATTAATTACAATCTTTATCATTCAACCACAACGAAAATGTTGGTGTAGCAAAACAGTTTGGAATGTAAAAGCGTAATGTTTCTGCCATATTGTAGTGACATCACGCTTGCTGACAAGGTTGCGCGCCATCTTGGATGGGTTACTCAACCCAATTCTACGGTTTTCTGCTATTAGTAAAATTTACTTATATAAATGGTATTAATTGTGTAGGTTAGATAAAACCTTAGTATATGTAGGAAAGATGTACCAAAACAACCACTACCGTCTCGTCATCTGTATTTGAGTAGAACATCTGCGGCTTTAAATGAAGTGAATAGAAAGCAACGTTCTGATTGGTTAGTTCGAAAGGTGATCTAGTCACAAAGATAAATATCACTGTCATATGTTCATTTCCGTTTATCAGAGTTGAGAACAGCCATATAACCATTCAGTTGTTTGCATTTATATATTGTTTATTGTTTATTTCCTATTAAGAATGATGTTTACGTAAGATTATTATGTTATTGTAACAAATAGTGTTCTAGGGAACTTTCTTTATTGGCAGAATTATGACATCGCAAATATAATACAATCACCATTACGATCACATGACTCTTTGAAAGCAACTGCTTCAGACAAGTCAATGTTTGTTTAATTTTGAATTCAAATTGATAATGGTCTCACGACTAGTTAGTAGACTAAGAAATGTTTCCTGTGGTATGTATGTAATATTTTGAAGAATAAAAGTATGACTTACGATTGACTCCTTTAGAATATTGAGTCTGTCGACAAATCGTTTCCATTCAGACCTGGTCATCATCCGGACTTCTTTTCGTCCCCAGCTACAACTTTGTATCTTCGACAACCTTTTCTTTCCGTTGTCTGTGCTTCCCTTTTGTCTTCTCTCGCATTTCTTTTTCCTTTGTTTACTTCCCTTTTCACTTCTGCAACATTTCCTTCTACATTTTGTTATCTTTCTTCCCTTGCTTTTTCGTTTCCTGTTACTGCTTGTTTCCGTGATTCTGGCTTGCTGTTTCTCACACGCTTTTATCTCACGTGTTTTTGTCCTACACCTATCACTAGTACTCCCATTATTGCATTGCTGCCTTTCTGTAAGCCAGTGTGGCCAGTCTCTGGAACCACATCTTGACAAGGCAATTATCAGGAGTTCCTGGGCATAGACAAGTAACACGTTGGCGGGAGAAGTGTCCAGAGCGGATTGATACAGATGCTGATGCAAGCAATAAACGCTGTCGTCCTGTTCGAATATTTCAAAGTGTCCATGGTGACCACGATACTGTTGGCACGTCCGGTTGCGACTGGGTCCGTGTAGGTGTTGTTCCTGTCCCGTGGGTAAAGAGAACAGGCGACTCACGATACCAGCAAAAAACAAACCTGCCACGGCCTGAAACATTTGAAATTACTTTAAATATATAAATACAAATCATGGAACGTCAATTTACATTTAGTTATTCATACGAATGTATTTTTTTTTAAAAATAAAACCTAATTACAATAGTATCACGTCATATGTTAACATGCATTGGTTCTTAATTTTGCAACCTCAATATAACTATATGATGTTGTATACAAAGCGTATTGTATCATGATTATCACAAATGTAATAAACTATAAATACCTTATGTAGAAACATGAAAGCGTGTAAGGGTGATTTATTTATATTTCATGTCTAATTCTTAAGATGACATTGATTTATTTATTAGCGCTCCTGGCACGAAGTGCTTGTGAGTTTATGGTATGGCGCAGCGTCCTTCGTCCATCGTCCGTCTGTCCGTCAAACTTGTTTTCTTAGAAGAACACCTTTTTGAAATCTAATATAATACAAACCTTATTTATTTTACAACAATTATTAAACAAATTATTTCATCCTATATGAATCACTCTTAATTGTTGGCCCGGATGTTAGCTCGAGTGGGGTCTTAATGTGGGAAGAACCAGAGTACCCGAAGAAAATCCAAGTGGTCGGACAGGTGAAAACTGAAAACTGGTATTGTGTCAGAAGGAACCAAACATTAATGATATTTAAATTAGTTCTAGGTCATAGGGGTCAATACTTGAAAAGCTTCAAGCAACATATTCTTGAGAATTAGAAGGTGTGGAGTAATTTTACCTCGGTAAGATATGTCGACCATCATTTTGAATCTTACATCATATTGAGATTACGTCAGGTTTGAGTACTAGCCGGGATCAAATATCAACATTGGCTATAATGGGTAATATATTTCTCCATTAATTCGATGAGACCCAGGGCCGTGCTTTGCAAACCAGGTCTGCATAGCTTTTTTCCTATCCTATGGTCATAGCTTTTAAATGTTTACTCTTGCTTGACATTCACACCAAATGTGGTACCAGGATGAGCCCTGTGTTCTGCCCGTGCCCCATGGGGACTGAGATTCCAACCCTATAACCGTAAAACTATCACCTTAACCTGAATCACTATGAAGCTAACAAGAAAGAGAGAGAACACAATCAGGTATTGTAAAACGTTTTGACAATACTGATTGAAACCATGATAAACAGAATACACTGATGAGCAGACTTTGTATTGAAAAAGTATAAATAAATGGCGTCACAATAAACGGACGTCTATAATCAAAACTCAGTGTCGACGCGACATTAGGATTTACAGTTCACCAAATACCACGCCGAAACAACTACAAACATAGGAGACGATTAAGCGCATTTGGTTACAAAATATTAATGACATACAAATTAATAACTATGACATAACCTCATTCATGTGTTACCTTGCAAGCGACAGCAATTGGTTTTATGCAGGTAAAAGGTATGATATATCTTACCTGCATCGCTGCGTAGAAAGCATCTAACTTTTCGTCCAACCATGAGGAGAGGCGTGCACATCCAAGGCAGGCTGTCTACATAGACAGAACACCCAGAAAGCAAATCACGACAATTTGTATATTTAATTATTTAAATTTCGACAACTACAATACGCTATGTGATAGGCGAAGAGCTTGACTCATTCCTTTAAGATGCACGTCTTTTAGATACTTATAAAAGATAATAGTACTCTAACACAGAATATAGAAGATGTCTGTTAAAAACTAAAGGATAATGTCGCTATATTTCAGAAGGATAAAACTGTATGTTACAATGTTAATGATTTCAGTTCGCTGTATCAATTACCACATGTTAGTGGTACAATCACACGTGTTTGTCTAGACTGCCCACCGTCTCAAGAATATTGAATAATTAAGAAAAAAAATCACTCTAATAATTTTGATCACTTGGATGTCTGATTCTAGGTTCTAAACTAGGGGGAGATAAGCTAGTAATAAAATGCAGCCGAGAAATTCTTCATAAAAACTTAGGGGCTGGTGGCCAGTCTAGTGTTCGTCTTCATCTTCCAAGATACAAGACTGTATACTCTACTCGTGGATTTATAGTCCCCGAGGTTTGTCATAACCTTGATGGCCACACTGATCACGTCCGTCGATAAATTGCAAAATAGGTGTAAAAAGGATTTCCTAGGTTATCAAGCAAGCCTTTTTTTGAAAGCAAGATATGTAATGGTGTAATGTTGTGTAAACTAAAATCAGTTAATGATGACAGACTTCTGTATAAAGTTTATCAAAGGTCTTAAAGAAAGGAAAATCACGGTAAAAGAAAGCGTTAAAAATTGCACAGAAATACAATGTTGAACATTTGATAAACATTACTTTGAATGCTACTAAGTCAGTAATGCATGGTATTAGAAAATGTATGTTTAGAATAAATCAGCAATCTAGGTTTAATGAGCTTTGGAAAGACAGTCGTCAACAAAATGGAAATAAATTGAGGACTTATCGGATGTTTAAGAAAGATCTGAAACCAGAATGTTATGTAACAAGTTTTGTACCTCGAGCCCACAGAAGTGTTTTAGCGAAATTGATATGTGGTAGCTTACCTCTCCATATTGAGACAGGCCGCTACAATAGACCTGTTACACCTTTAGATTAGAGGACATTTAAATATTGTCAATGTAATTCAGTAGAATCTGAGATTCATTTTTTTTATGTGAGTGTGAATTATATTCTGATATTCGTAGTGTACTGTATAACAAAGCTATTGATATCCAACCAGCTTTTATAACTTATCTTATTCTTCTAATGAATGAAGAATCCCTTCAATGTATTTTAGCTAAAACTGTATTCTAATGTGTCAGGAAACGACGGACGTCCACAATCTTGTAATTGGTCTTAATGAATATGTTAATCGTTTTAACTGTAATATTGATGTATGTATACTGTGATAATACTTAAATGCATTGTTGTTATTTTAGCAATATATTAATGAGATTAATAGTTTAAATGATACTTCTATATTTAGTAGTTATATGAACACTCTGTGATATTGTTTAAATGAATATATTTAATCTAGAAATACCTTAAAATGCTAAAAGTTTAGATGTTTTGTTGTATATAATTGTGATACATATTACGTCGTATTGTGATAATGGTGTCTCATAGGTCAACACTGGCCGGACATTTCTCATAGGTCAACACTGGCCGGACATTTCTCATAGGTCAACACTGGCCGGACATTTCTTATGCATAGTTCTTAAACATTGTAAAAGTATATTATGGTACTTGCATGTATTAAAATGTGTGACACATTAATACAATATTTATTATTATTATTTATTTTTATTATGTAATATTGTTTGCAGACAAGAATTACGTAATAAGGTACTTTGTCTTAAGACCTAAATCCATACTCTGAGTACTCAGAGGTTGTGAAAGCCAGCCCCTGATAATGTAGGAAGCGCTAACTGGTACTCAAAGATAATCATAGATTTCCACCTAGTGTGTACAACTGACACGCATACGAAAACATTTGATCAGATTTAAGTAGGACCATTTATTTATCTGATTGTCCCAGGTTGTGTAACTTATATAGTTGATTCTCGACGATTACCATATCGAACTTGATAATAGTATATGCAAACTGTAGGAACCTTAAAAAAGGTTCAATATCCATGACAATCTTTTTTAAGAAAGTGCACGAAAAAGAAACTGAGAAGACGTCCAGAACGAATAATTAAATGTGTAGGTGAACAATTTCAAGTTCATTTGTCTACCTGCCAGTCAGTTAAAAAGTCTACTTGTCAGGAACGTGTCAGTATAAAACAGTTTTGTGTCATCTCAATTTCTCAATAATATTTATGTTTCTTTTAACAACGAAGCAAATACAGCATCTCTATTTTGTGTTTTTAAACTACAGGAACACAGGGTGTCTATGTTTATGTCCTAACACTACATGGTAGATAGTGTATCTTTGTTTATATCATAACACAATTAGGTACATAGTGTAACTTTGTTTATATCTTAACATAATTAGGTACATAGTGTATCTTTCTTTATATCTTAACACAATGGGGTACATAGTGTATATTTGTTTATATCATAACACAATGGGGTAAATAGTGTATCTTTATTCATATCTTAACACAATTAGGTACATAGTGTAACTTTGTTTATATCATAACACAATTAGGTACATAGTGTAACTTTGTTTATATCTTAACACAATGGGGTAAATAGTGTAACTTTGTTTATATCATAACACAATGGGGTAAATAGTGGATCTTTATTCATATCTTAACACAATTAGGTACATAGTGTAACTTTGTTTATATCATAACACAATTGAGTACATAGTGTAACTTTGTTTATATCTTAACACAATGGGGTAAATAGTGTAACTTTGTTTATATCATAACACAATGGGGTAAATAGTGGATCTTTATTCATATCTTAACACAATTAGGTACATAGAGTAACTTTGTTTATATCATAACACAATTAGGTACATAGTGTAACTTTGTTTATATCATAACACAATTAGGTACATAGTGTAACTTTGTTTATATCTTAACACAATAGGGTACATAGTGTAACTTTGTTTATATCTTAACACAATGGGGTACATAGTGTATCTTTGTTTATATCTTAACATAATGGGGTACATAGTGTATCTTTGTTTATATCTTAACACAATAGGGTACATAGTGTATCTTTGTTTATATATTAACACAATTAGGTACATAGTGTAGTTATGTTTATATCTTAACACAATTGGGTACATGGTGTAGTGTTGTTTTTTATATATTAACAGAATGGGGTACATAGTGTATCTTTGTTTATATCTTAACATAATTGGGTACATAGTGTATCTTTGTTTATATCTTAACACAATTAGGTACATAGTGTAACTTTGTTTATATCATAACACAATTAAGTACATAGTGTAACTTTGTTTATATCTTAACACAATGGGGTACATAGTGTAACTTCGTTTATATATTAAGACAATTAGGTACATAGTGTTTCTTTGTTTATATCTTAACACAATTGGGTACATAGAGTATCTTTGTTTATGTCTTAACACAATGGGGTACATAGTGTATCTTTGTTTATATCTTAACATAATTGGGTACATAGTGTATCTTTGTTTATATCTTAACACAATAGGGTACATAGTGTATCTTTGTTTATATCTTAACACAATTAGGTACATAGTGTAGTTATGTTTATATCTTAACACATTTGGGTACATGGTGTAGTGTTGTTTTTTATATATTAACAGAATGGGGTACATAGTGTATCTTTGTTTATATCTTAACACAATTAGGTACATAGTGTAGTTTTGTTTATATCTTAACACAATGGGGTACATAGTGTAACTTTGTTTATATCTTAACACAATTAGGTACCTAGTGTAGCTTTATAGGTTATCACTGTCGATGTTTTGTAATAACAGGGGTTACAGAATGTATCTGTTATATAGTTATAGGAGACTACAAATTTAAGTGTGCATGTCTTATAAAGTATATCTGGCAATACATGTCGTTTACGGTTCTTTAATCAAGCAAATTGTTCAAAACAGACTGTTTAGCATAATGAGATAATATTTCAATCGTCGGAAACTTTTATTATCATACTAAATTATATTTCCAAAAAAATGCGTAAATGAATTGCTGGAGTGACGATGACTGCCCATACAGACATTTTAATATCCCTTTACGGCGTGACGCTACCAGTCTACTCCAGATGTGTCATGTCTCGTTAAAATGCAAATGGCAGATTATAACGTACCGGTATTTACCAAGTGTGTATTATTCACTAACTGTAAATAACCTAAAGCAACCCCGCTTGTCCTAATATCTGTTACAGGGCCTTCAAATCGGGTACCACGGATGACTATATCCATTGCCAGTCTTCTACGAATTTGAATATCTCGCAAAGTGGCGACTGTACGGCTTGCTTTCGACCTGCATCTGTTAATTTGTCTGTCGCACTCCAAATAGTCACTTCCGCCACAGGAGGGACACTTGGGTGGAGGTTTATAGCGACTTAGACCCTCAATGATGTCACTATAGCCATGAATATTTCGAAGATTACCAAATGGAATCATGTTTTCATTGCGAGCCTGTGACTTCGGCCCCTTGTCGGGGTAATCAGTTGCCGGATTGATGTTTCCAGTTTCCCGCATGAGTTGTCTAAACAGATACCACAAATAATCGATAAAGCTGTGATGAAGAAAAAAGACGGGATCCTGTGACGCTTTTCTGATAATAGAAAGCTGCCCATCTACCCAACGGTGGGGACCATTATGTATGCCTTCTATCGAAATACTCCTTACCGTTGGATCAACAACAGGGTCGTGACTTTTATAACGTAACATTCGTTCCACCATACATTCGCTTATGAGACTTCCAGATAATCCAATATTTCGGGCAAGTGGCTCTTTGTGAGCCGTTATCCAGTTTGCAAATGGCCCCGAGTCCACTCTACCAATACCCGGACCGAAAAACTCGTCCGTCCACAATACGGAGTCAACAGGCTCATCCATATCATAGTCCAGCCGACTGTCCCAGTAGGGTATGGGAACACCTATGGCTGCTTCCATTCTGTAAAGAAATGGAACGAAGAGAATTATTGAAAGCTTCCGGTAACGTGGTGCCTGGAAATACATATGTACTTAACATCTTAAAACTTGTTCCTTCTTTTTTTCGAACTGATATCACGTCTATAAGATTTGTTACTTTAGCCGAGATCTAAACTTACATAAGGAGGTACACTCTATGCCAACCGAGGAAGTTAGGCCCTTTGTGGGCTGCCTTTAAGTTGGTTTTAACTCTGTGGATGTTGGAAATCACATCATATGGTATAAATGATCCACCTCCTGGGAGTTCCTGTAATAGAAATGTGACTTAATCACCAATACGTGATATATATATATATATATATTCTTAAAATGTGTTTACAAATATTGTTTACTGACAAGAAACAACTTGCATTTGTTGCCTATATAATAATAAGTCGATTTAACGACCGACAACTTACGATTGGCCTTTTGAGAATATTAATTCTGTTGGTAAATTGGTTCCATTCAGGCCTTGACAGCATCCGGACTTCTTTTCGTTCCCAGTTGCATCCAGCTTGTTCAGCGTTATACTTCCTTTCCCTGTTAGAATAATATTTCCTTGCGAATCGTTTCCCGCGTCTCCCTTTGTATCTCATTTTTTTGCACTTCCTGCTTCTGCATTTTTTCTTTGACAGTTTCGAAAGTCCGGCTTTGGACTTTTTAACACTACACCTAGTCAAGGCTTTCTTCAAAAGTTCATCAACATATGCATTGTCGGCGTCGTTGGGCGAGGAGCGTAGGGCGAATTGATAAAGATGTTTCTGCAAACAATGCACGCTGTCGTCATTTCCGGTTATTTCAAACTTACCACGATGATCGCGATATTGTTCACAGTTTGTGGCAGGACTGGTAAGCAAATGTTGTCCGGTTACCTTGACGATATTAAGCAGAAGACTCGAGATTATACTTGCAAATACAAAACCCGTCGTGGTCTGTTTCATCTGAAATGTACATAGCACATCCAGTTGTTAAAATTCTAAACATTGCATTATTTTGCCACTCCCACAAACCAGTACACATGGATCACCTATTTAACCATTTCATTCCCATGTAACTTAAGTAAACTCTACCACGCATTGATCTGGATGAGTCCATTATGGTCTACAGTGGTTAAAGGGTTAACACTTAACTGCAAGTCATGTTTGATCCAACATTGCTGATTTAAAGTGACAATACATATGCCAACAAATAAAACCTATCTATTGATTATTGCACTTTTTCCTATCAAATCTATGTAGACTTATTAGGGGTTATAAGTTACCATAACAACAGAAATTTTCTTACTGATTGGCAGTAGAAGTTTTAAGCATTATATTATATTTGTGAAGAGAGTACGTAGGATGGCTAGAATAGAAGAAAGAAGAAATTATGCAAATCGCACGAATAATGATAAGCTAGGACAATATTTGCATGATGCAAATTAAACTATACAAAATCAAATTAGAAAGTAAGTTGTTAATGTAGGCAGTAGATCAACTTTGGTTGATATTTCTATTTCTATTTTTTCTCAGATAAATCATATAATGATAATTTCAATAAATTATATAATGATAATTTCAATACTGTACAAAGAATAAAGAAACAAGGTAACTTCATTATAGAAGCGACATAACTATAAATAACGTCAGGAGTACATACAAACATAATACCACGTCATAACTATAAATAACGTCAGGAGTACATACAAACATAATATCACGTCATAACTATAAACAACGTCAGGAGTACATACACACATAATACCAAAAGAATCAGTCATTTAATAACTCTAACAAAAATAATATCAAAGTATAAATCATTTAAACCTACATTAAACGATATCAAAGTATGAATAATTTAAACCTACATTAAACGATATCAAAGTATGAATAATTAAAACCTACATTAAACGATATCAAAGTATAAATCATTTAAACCTACATTAAACGATATCAAAGTATAAATCATTTAAACCTACATTAAACCATATCAAAATATATAAATCATTTAAATCTACATTAAACGATATCAAAGTATAAATCATTTAAACCTACATTAAACGATATCAAAGTATAAATCATTTAAACGTACATTAAACGATATCAAAGTATAAATCATTAAAACCTACATTAAACGATATCAAAGTATAAATCATTTAAACGTACATTAAACGATATCAAAGTATCACCGATTTAATACTCATTCAAAAATAATATCATTTTTTCACATGAAAATTACCTTCACACAAAAAACATCTTGTTTTAATTGATTAAGAAATATCAATTCAAAACTAGTTAATAGGGCCAGTCTGATGGTTTTGATATGAATAAACTGGTAATATACAATAAGCATATCTTACCTTCATGATTACGTCGGCATGACAGTATGTCCAGTTTTGAAGAGGTTCTTCAAATTTATTTGGCTTTATATGCTGTTTACCGCACACAAATGAGGATTGCTGCCGGAAATATCGTGCTTACAGTGACAGCGTTTCACAGCAAAATATTCATATATCAGGACAGTGTGCATAGTAATGGTTGTTTTTATATCAGAGCAGATACCATGTTCTTTAAAAATTGTTTCAATTAAAGGTATGTATGCTAGAATATCTCAAATATACGACTGTATTAGGATTACGACAAAATAGATATTTTCTTATTGTAGAAATGTTAGAGTTAATATTTAAATGCTACATTTCTTTTAGAAATGATTAATGTTGACATGTCAGAAACATATTTAGGATGTTGTTTCAGTCATCTTTAGATTTTTTGTCTCTTAACGGAAAACAGAAACATGCAACTCGCACGCGAAACCGTTTCAACAGGGGAAACATATCAACAAAGGAGATATTTAAATTGAGACCTGTTGGAAATTGAAAAAAATGGGAATAAGACCAGGTGTTCTGGAGAGGTAAGCGTCTTCTGTTTTATCGACTTTACCTGCCATGTAAATATAGGTCAAATAAAGCTATATAACGTCTTCATAGCGGAACCACGAGATATAGTAACAACTTAACCACAAGACACACTAACGATTAAAAACATTGACTTTCATATTATTCACAGAAATAACAAAAATACCAATAAAGCCATGACAGCGGCAACAAACTGGGCAACAATATGGATAACAAATACAGCATTGTAACAAGGACGTCATTGATGGTACAATGTAACAGTCTGTATTGTTATCAGACCCGTGATGTTTTGAGGTAAAACTCCGAATTGCTCAGAATATTGAATTGTATCATCAATGTACTCCGCTAGTTTGTATAACTGGTGCACGGATGCAACGTTCTCCGGTCCGGGGGAACGAAAACTTCATAAATAGAAAGAGGTACTATGCACAGATACCTGGCAACCACCGTAATGTCAACAAACAGACTGGTGATAAAGTGATCGCGCGTGCAACGCGGTCCTTAAGCAAGTCTGGAAGCAAATATGAAAATTCGTTTACTTTTCTATGAGTAACATTCGTGTTAATTACTTTCACGAATTTCCGATTCCAATGTAAAGATGTTAAAGTGTCGGAGTCGTCCGGATCCTTACTGCATCCGATATTTCGACAAGAAAGAGAAATTGTATGAAAAAAATAACGATGAGGGATGCAGGATGGGAAAACCAATATTGACACATCACTCGTCGCTGTTGATCTTGTTGTAAGTATTAATCAAGGGAAACGACTTACAAGAACAGCCTGTGGCGTCCTTTTTTTATCATTCATTGAGAATATACGATCGACGTGGTAAAAAGAAAAGATGTCAATTGAAGCATTCTGGTGGCTATCATCGATAATTTTTATCTTTTAGCATTTTAGCATATAAAGTGATAACGTAACGGGACCAAAATCATAAATGGCCTATTTTGGAGAAAAAAAATGTTTTAACGATACACTTCAACATGCTTAAGTAAATTGCTCTCTAATAAAAGAGTAATAAATTTAATACCAGGTTGTATTTTTGCTAGTTACTCCTTCTTTCCCAAACCAGATGTCTTTGTCAGAGTAGTAACAATGGGGCATTCAGCCAGTGACAAGTACATGATTCTGACCGGAGTCTGTGATGGGTTTCTGTGATTCAACCTGAGTTGGTGGTGCGTGTTGGTGCGTGTTGTGTTATTGATTGGCCGTTTAATTTTATACCCGCCGCCATCACAAGGATACCAATGCCCACAGTAGATATAAGAACACCAATGTATTGTCTCCTGGTGGTGATTTTGTTAGGGAATACTTCGCTAAGTCTGCTAGACAAGCACTTTTGAGACTGACAACTGGGTTAGTATAATTCTCCTTTCTCATGACAAGTCTGAAAAGTACCATATTTGGAGATCTTGTCTGAATTATAATCTATCTTGCACTAAACAAGCCAACATTGATCCTTGTATATCTGCAAACGTGTATTGTATAGTATACGTATAGCTCATCCTCCGCAACCTTCTCTTCGGTTGCGCAGGGTTTTTAAACCCTACTCCTTCTGGTCCTATATATACCCGGTAAATGAGCAGTTTTCAATCCTTACACCTTCTAGTCTTATATATACCCGGTAAGTGGGTAGGTTTTCAATCCTTACACCTCATTTTCCTATATATACCCGGTAAGTGGGTAGGTTTTCAATCCTTACACCCCCTTTTCCTATATATACCCGGTAAGGAAGGAGGTTTTTCAATCCTTACACCTCCTTTTCCTATATATACCCGGTAAGTGACCAGGGTTTCAATCCTTACACCTCCTTTTCCTATATATACACTGAAAGTGAGGAGGTTTTCAATCCGTATTCCTTCTGGTCCTATATATACCCGGTAAGTAAGGAGGGTTTTCAATCCGCAATCCTTACTCCTTCTTTTCCTATATATACCCGGTTAGTAAGCAAGTTTTTCAATCCTTACTCCTTCTGTTCCTATATATACCCGGTAAGTAAGGAGGGTTTTCAATCCGTTTTCCTTCTAGTCCTATATATACCCGGTAAGTAAGCATGTTTTTCAATCCTTACTCCTTCTGGTCCTATATGTACCCGGTAAGTAAGGAGGGTTTTCAATCCGTTTTCCTTCTAGTCCTATATATACCCGGTAAGTAAGCATGTTTTTCAATCCTTACTCCTTCTAGTCCTATCTATTTACACCTGGTAAGTAAGTAGGTTTTCGATCCTTACTCCTTATGTCCCTATATATACCCGGTAAGTAAGCATGCTTTTCAATCCTTATTTCTTCTACGAGTAAGCTTTTACGCCAACGTACCGACATTCATGCGCACTAAGGAAAATAATAAGTCAGGTAGATATACGTAATTCATAAAAGGCAGACTGATGTACGTTAGAGTAACCCACTTACATGAAATAAACACATCTAACGGAAATCAACATACGGGAAGTCAGACATACAAACGGGTAATTCTAGTAGAGAGTAATTCACATTATGTAGTCAAATGTGTAAAGAATGTGCAAGGTATTTGGTGACAAATTCGCTTTACTATCTTCGGCTACAGGAAATTTCCCTTTAGCTCAGCGGTAGAATGTCTGACTATTTCCTTTCTGTTTCTTGTATGTATTTATAATGGTAATACAAGTACAGGCGAATCAATATACATCCATTCAAATGTTCCTTATTGTAAATCGTATGCATGTATTTAGGTACAACCAACAGTATTCCGTATAACACGTACGACGTCAGGTTCACTTAAGATATTCCACAGGCAGTAATATTCACCTACGATACATAAATAGGCAATGAAAGGGGCCACAGGATAACCCACATATAGGCAGTAAGAGGAACCTTACTGTAATTACCATTCACATCTCGTTAAAACGCGTTTGTTATTTCGTTTAAACGCGATTATTATCTCGTTAAAATGCTAAAACTAACGCGATACTTATCGCAGTTAAACAGGGTAACTAACGCGTTTAAAAGAGATAAAAGTAGCTTTTTACATGTTTGAAGTTGACACTAATAGGCTACCGTACTTCACCGATGAAATCGATGTTCACCCAGAGTAAAATTCGTCCTTAACATGTAATGAGTATATAGGGTAATCTGTGTACTAATGTTCGCTGTCAACCTATTTGTTCGTGTTGCAGAGGGCGACAAAGGCAAAAATAAACTACAGCGAAAAGTTCCCGGTATACGTACATCATTAATGAAGCTCACCAAAAGCAAACATTTCAACCAATATTTGTTATACGTAATTTTTGCATTTCAAGTGATATTTTCTTCAAGAATAATTTATACATAAACCATTTTCCTTCTAAGTCGGTTTATGACAATTGGAAATTTATATTTTCGTTTAACGTCTGCCACATTTAGAATATTGTGACTGTTGGCAAATCGTTTCTTTTCACACCTGGAAATCATTCGGACGTTTTTTCATCCTCAGCTTCTTGGTTATATCTTCAACGATTTTTTGTTTGAACTGCTTTCAGTTGGCATTCATAGAAAATATGGACAAAGGTAAATTCAATGAAGCGCACTAGCCTTTCATGTTTGATTTGCCTTTTTCAGTTGGAATTCATTTTGCCTATGGATGCAAACTGAAAACAGTTCAATACTTATATTTACCATTTTAGGAATCTGTTCATCTCATAGAATTTTTTTTTTATCTTTCTTATTTACAACTTTGTTTTTAATTACTATTTTTGCAATATTTCCCTCTACATTTCGTTTAATTTGCTCACTGTTTCTTGTCTCTGCTTGTAATAATGATTCTCGCTTGTCGATAAATAGAGAGGGAATGTGTTTTCCTTTTTCCATCGTGATATGTCAATGTTTCACATACTTCACTATACGAAGAAGTTATGTTTTGTTACGTGTTATGTCGATGTTTCACAAAATTCACTATACGGAGAGGGATTTTGTTTATCATATATGTATATATATATATATATAAACAGATATGTTTTTTCCTTTTTTCGTCGTGCTATGTCAATATTCCGACGGTGTGTTTCACATACATTATTATTAAGTGGATTGGGAAGGTCTTTCTTAACGCAACGTAATGTGAAAATCAATAAATGTGTACAACATTTTAAAAATAAATAACGACTGATAATATCTCATATCCGTGAATCTTTAATTTATTTTATAAATATGTTACAAAGATATGAAAGACGTATGACCTCTCTCTTTATTAAGATTTTTTTTTATAGTGAAGAAAAGTGTTTTTCTTATAAACAGCTGACGCACATTGGCCCCGCCTAAGGTTAATAAGATACATACTATATTTATTAAAGCTAACATTTCAATGTTTAATGAACTGATGAATTCAAAACATGTACGAACCTTGAAAACAATGTGATAAGAATAATCCTTAATAATATTCGCCATCCGTGATATAAATGATAAGAATAATACTAATAAGATTGTGCTTGTGTCACTTACCTTATGAACAACTGTATTGTAAATTATCGTGTAGATATGTTTCTCTATACTTTGTTCTGTTAAGAGAATAGAATTGAATTGAATTGAAAACAAAATTGAAAAAGTGTGAGGAAACAATAGTATTAATTT